TAATTATTCAACCATTGAATGGGAGTAGTAACTACTGTGTTCCTGATTCCTTGTGTGGGCATCTTTAACTTGGCTATAAACACTACCAAACCAGAATTCATAGTTAATTTACATTAGTATCTACATATGAACTGTGAGTAGTTACAAGCTTTTTCTGTCCACATGCTGAGCTTTCAGAGTATGACCCAAAAGTGGATCTCAATAGTAAGACTGGCTAGGTCAGGCTCCCCAGCACTAAACTTAACTCCAGGGCTTTTTGTAATTTCAGAAGGTGGATAATGTGTGCACCAGTAATCACTCACCGAGTATTTTTTGATTGAACAATACACTAATTCTCATTTACAATAAGACTGCCTTTCATCACCAGATGTAGCAGTCTTAATGTAAATAAATTTGGCATGTGCTGGCATAGATTTACATTCAGCATTGTAATGTATAGCACTGAAGTGCTGAGTGAAATGGTCAGCAGCTCCAGTATTTATGACAAGAGAGTGAATCCAGTTCTCCACTGAATAAATGAGTATCACTGTGGACAGGTTGCAAGAAATGCAGAGTTTGCTCTCCTATTGTTCTGTGTGTGCTCTGTAAATAAGAAAAGCACTGTGTGCATATGGATTTTCTTTTATCTTGGCATTTCCTGCTGTTTCACAATTATTAGCTATTTAGGTGTTACAGTGCCTTGTCAGAAAGTTAAGGGACATATCAGAATTACTTCAGCTATTAGAATGCAGCAACAGCTCAAGTGGAGTCTTATGTGTGCTAATGCAGATACACACAACATATTTTAGGGGACTGAAATAATTTTTTTAAAAAGGTCCTGTTCCAACTGAAACTGAAACCTGAATTCTTCAGGTTGTCAGAACTTCTGTTTTATTGCATGTTCAAAAAGACAGACCCTGCAGTACCATGGTGCCCCCTAAAACTAGGTAAGGACATAGATTTTAAAGGAAGTGAGCTTCCTGCTCTCTCTGCTTCCTTCAGCAGATGTATCTTTGAAATCTTTAGGTCTTCATTTGAGATTAGTAATAGGATCACAGCTCATGATATGGTTCATAATGCAAAGTGCTCATTTAGAAGTCTTTTACTGTTTTTTAATCCACAGTTTTAGCCTGTAATGTTCAGAATACAGTTTAGCTGTATTTACTGTAGTTTCAAAGTTGTTGCCTCCTGTGCTTTCTGTTTGATAAGCAAATGGATTGTTGTATTAGGTTTTCTGCTATAGAAAATACTGGGAAGGTTCTAAATTGCAGTGTGAGTAAAACTGCACTTGTTTTTCACCTGGGAAGTCTTAGCTTGTATTCAAGTTTGTCACTACTGCAGCAAGTCAGGCAGTGCCTCACAACACCCTCAGCAGGGTCTGGCCTTGTGCCCAAAGAGGAGCATTTACTTGTCTAGCCCGGAATTGTTGCAGATGCACATTGAAATGCTTTTATGAAAATAAAGGAAATGGCCTTTAGAAAGCCTGTGCTCTCAGTGGCTTTCAGAGCAATGCAACATGGGTTTCATTTATATTTACAATTGGCTATAAGCCTCTGGAAAAGGCTGAATTCTTTCTGAACAGTGTCCAGGGCAGGAGATATTCTGTCATTAGCTTTGTTGATATAAAGGCTGTGTCCATTAAGGTAAGAAAATTGAATAAGGCCTTTTATGAAGCAGTGGCTAACCATTTCCATGATCAGAGAAAAAGCCATTTTGTGAAACAGTGGCTAAGAGTTTCCATGATCAGAGAAATATGTGTCTTATATGTACATGTTGCTTGATGGATACGTAATTATTTTATTTAATGCTCAAAGTATTTGTTCACCATGATCATAACTGAATGTTCAAGCTTAGAGAGAGAGAGAAAGAATCAAGCTGGCATAAGTGGACTGCAACTTCAGCCTCAGAGAGTGGGCAGAGGGAGATTAGCAGGAAGAGTTAATGAGGCTGAAGCACCCTGATAACATCACCCAGTGCATCAAATACAGTCCCTTAGTGAGGGAGAACCAAGGGATGTGCAACTTTCTGCCCCTCTTCCTGGCAATTCTGTTCAGGCTGGAGTTAGACCAGCTGTGCTGAGCAAGAGTTTGGCATCACGTCAGTCCTTTAGGAACCATGTCCCACTGAATTTGTTTGTGTACCCAGGAGATGTGAGGTTGTTAACTGGAAAATTTGATCTTCTGCAACAAGCACATCCTTAGTATGACCCTTTGAATGTAGTGAAGATGAACCAGGGTACTTAAACAAGTAAAAATTGTGGAAAAAAAACCCTGGTGAATATCTAGCTCATCCTTACCCTCATGGAAGAGTTTCTGGCATTACTATTACAGCTTCTTAATGTTTTTCTAGCACCTAAATTACAACTAGGACAAATTTAGGATTTCCTTTTATTTTTGTGAGTTATTTCTTGCTCAAAGAAAGGCACCAAGAATCCAAATCTTAGCAGTAAAAAGTTCGATTCCCTGACAGTTTAATGACCTTGTACTAAAATTAACTGATGACCTTGAGTCTCTAAAGGATTTAAGGAGTAATTTAGTAAGTACATAGTTACACCAAGCACTGAAAATACACTTGCTACCAATTTTCTGTATGTGCAATACACTACTGGGTCACTCCTCTGTGTGTGTCTTTGACCCTTATCTAAAATAATATATTCCTGGAGAGAAAACTTGAAGTATTTCATGGTACATTATTACTGCTCAGAAAACTCTTCTAATTTTCATGCTGATAAAGATATTAACATAGAAAAATTAGACATATCCTTTTGTCTGAACGGCACTTGAAAATCTGTGTTGTGACTACAGTTGACTGAAGCTCAATTACTTTAATAAACGTATTCCAAATTTCATCTTGATTACATTTGCATTTTAATGAACGATTCTCGCCTACTTGTCAAATAGGCAGCACAGCTAAATTTATTAAGTTATTGTATAAACAGGGTATTGTGATGCCAGAATTTAAATGGAGAAATATTTGATGTCACATTCCAGCAACATGTTATAAATCTACAGTGTAGAAAAGTATGTTGCTTACCTCTGTACTTTAAGTTTGGATTTATTTTACTGGTTTTCTTTGAAGAGTCCATCAACCTTAAGGGTCATTCATAAACATGCCAGAAAGAATTCTATGGAATTATGACAGGGTGGGGGTTTTTTGCTTTAAATTGGATAGTTATTACAGCTCTTTCATATGCTGCATTTCTCTTAAATGTTCTATTATATATTTATTTTTCTGTATTTGAGAAACAGGGGGGGAGTAAACTGCTCCCCTTGACAACAAGTGAATTTGGTGCCTGACATTTGCACCCTATATGACCTTTGGGTGCTTTAACATGTCTAGTAAGAAAAGGGAGTTGTTACTTGCCAGTAAAACAAATGAGGCCCAGCTTTCAAGCCTGGGTTGTGTTTGAAGAATCAATACAGTCTGATGACACTTAATTCAAAAGTCAGCAGCACATTAACAAAAAGGGGGGTGTCCTGTGGAATAGGGATAGGATATTCCTTGGATTTGGATGAGCTGCTATGTTCTTGCTAACATTTTAATCAGGAGCTGCAGAATACCTGTGTGCCATGCCCCCTTTCACTGCCCTACCTCACCTTTGCCTTTTCTGTTATTTTATTTAACCTCAGTGGTCATCCTGCAGGCAGTGCATTACAGTTTCCTCTTTATTTTCTTCTCTTGCAGTAATACCTTGCCTGTTCTCTTCCCCTCACTCACAGGTGCACTGGCACCTTCCTTGTTCCTGCCAGTGCAGCCTCCTGACAGCACCTGAAATTGTGGAATTCAGCAGCTTCAGGGCAGTGCCTGTCAGGCTGTGACAGCTGAGTTCACACAGTGAGGGGCCTGGTGGTTGGTTGGCTGCTATTAATTAGAATTAGGGAGAGAGTTTTTAAGCCAAGTACTGGACAAAGTGATACTGAGTTCAAGACACCTAGTAATTAACCTGCATGATACTGAAAGAGAGAAGGGAAAGTTCTCACAGACCATATTGGGGAATTATCCTTTGTTATCATATTGCAGAAGGAAATACTAATGTTGAACTCTTGAACATAGAAGAATTTGAAATCTTTAAAAATTAAGTTAGTGGGCAACAGAGAAATCAATCAATTTAATAGTGTGTGATTAGAACACTGACCAAGTTGTGATGATTTTTGGCAGACATCATCTCAATTCTGTGAAGCAACTTTCATATACTCGGTCAGGAGTCACTGGAGAGGAAGAACCCACTGAAAGCAGCCCAGCAGGCTCAGGGTATGTGAGAAAGAACTGAGTTCCAGCCACCCAAATATTCCTCTGATGCAGAGGAGTCAGAGGAACCAATAAACACATAAGTCAACTCAGAGGGCTTTTGGCATCCGAGGGCAGTGGTTTTAAAAAGCAACAGTTGCCAGTTTCTGTCACTGTTTGGTATTGAGGCAGTTCCCATGGATGAACTAGGACCACACGATGCTTAAAGTTCTGGATAAGTGAGCAGCTGTAAACTTAGTGAAAAGCATGGGAGAAAAAAGGCACTTGAAGTGGTTTAAGAAGGAGGATGTTTAGAAGGCAGAGAGAAGGTTAGTGAACTCTGGAGAGGTGTCACAGCCACCTCAGAACTGATTCTCCAAGGAGAAAAGAAGGAACCTGGTGAGCTTGTGCCATGTGTTTTTTCCCTCAATGGGATCACAGCGTTAGGAATAAAAAAGAATTGTATTTAGCAGAATTGGCTTGGCTTGCAGAGTGATTTCTTCACTACTCCATACCTATTACTACTTTCTTCAGATTTTCTCTCCATCTGATCACTGCATTGTCTTCAGTCCTTTGGCTCCTGCTGCTCTTCTCAGTGCACCTCCACTGCCTGTTGTAACACTGTAGTTGTCTTCCATGTATCAGCCCTCACTGTGTGATGCTTGAATCCTTGCTCAGCAGGACAGAGCAGCTCCTCTAGAGGTTACACACCTTTGGAGCCTCAGTGCATTAAAAGCTCATCCATCTCTAACAGTCTTTTCTCATCAGTTTGCTGTGGCTTTTATCACTCCCAGGTACCACCTTCCTCTCATGAACCGACCCTCAACTTGGAAAACTGTCTCCAGAGTAATGTAAGATGCCATCACACTCTAGTCACAAAGTGCAACAACAATGTTATAACCATTAATAAAAGGTAAGAAATAAAATCTTTCCTCTGAATACAACACTTAGACCAAAAAGCAAACACGTGGCACAGGCTGAGTAATTCTGAACAGGAAAGTATCATATTTACTGGAGTGACATTAAATGTCCATTCTGTATGGTCACTAACTGAATGGCTAGAAAAGGTGGGAAAGGAATAAAGTATTCCTGAGAGATAGTGTTATGGAAGGAGAAAACAGGCCAAACAGCCTTGGGGCAGTGAAGAAACAAAACCCACAGCCTGTAAAAAGCTGTTTTCTGTTTGCCCAGCACTCAAGACTCTTCTCATCAGGGTGAATCTTTTCAACTTACTCCATTATTTTCTGTGCACAAAATATGTTAACCCAGGAAAAACTAAACAGACTTTGAGGCCTGTCTTGAAACTTTGGCCTTGTATTTATAATCTTACTACCTCCATTGGCATGATTCCAACAAAAAACAAGTAAAATGGAATGCAAGCAATGTGTCAGCATCTTTTCTCAAACAAATCAGTCATATTATTTCCTTTGCCTCAAGTTTGATTTAACATAAATGCGTAATTGCTAATAATAAGCAGTAGTATAAATGTGTGAATACAAATAAATACAAATGTATTTATAATTTATAAAGTACTATAAGCATATTATAAATAAATAAAAATTGCATATCCTGGTAAACATATAAATATCCAAATTTTAATTTTAATAAGTGCTAATAAATGCAGTCATTAACAATTTAGAGATACACCTAAATATTTTTTTTAAAGAGAAGAGGAAGTGTGATGATGTGAAAACAATAAACAGCTTTATTGGTTCAGCCTTCGTTTCACATACTACTTTTTTAACTTCAGTCTTTGTTCTTTCCCACAGTTGCATTCTGACAGAAGAGGCCCACATGAGGAAGTGGGGAAAGAAGGAAAAAAAGAGGACCTTATAGTCTTTTAGTCCTGTTTATACCAGTGTCTGGATTCCAAGTGCTCCTGGAGCAAAAAAGGTAAATTTGAAGGAAGATTCATGTCCTGCCCTCTGTGGTAGGACATGAGTGAAGTTCACAGTGACACAGACCCATAACAGATACACTTAGAGCTGCTGTGCAGCTGCTGAACTTGTGTTCAGGAGTTTATGGTGATATAGTCTGTCTTTATTAATAGCAACTGTTAAATTCTAACATTAAGTGACTGAATCCTAATGACTTACTGAACACCTTGTGTGTGTGTGTACAGAGGCACACCTCATTCACCTTGCTGACATTCACTTGGCAAGTTCCAAGTTGCATAAAATCTTCTTAGGTGGTGTAGCTTTCAAGATTAGGCTCATTTAAAGATAAGGCTGTCAAAATTAACATTTAATTTGCCAAGTTAAAAGGTAGGCCTGTGTAAGAGAGAGGGAGAAGGCAGTACTTGTACCATATGCATTTCTCTGTATTTTATGTTAGTCACTAGTGCATACTGTCCTGTTCTAATTTCATTATTCCAGTTGTTCACCAAAAGTTTGTATATTTAGATTTGCAGGTGGAATAAGCTAAAATGCCAAAGGTAATCTTAGTTCAGAAAAATACAGGACCAACATATTCAGCTCACACACTGTTTTTTCTTAAAGGCAAAACTTAGAAGCTACTGTAGAATCCAAACCCCCAAGAATCCATACCATAACTGGATAAATGCCAGAATTCTCATGGGTAAGAAAGCACCAGGCACATCATCAAGATAAGCCCAAAAATAAGATCCAAAAATATGCTTTCAGGATACAGAATTATGTGTCAACATTAGAAAAACCTTGAGAGGTGTCTGGAATTCACTGGGACAATTAAAACTCATCTGCTACAGAACCGGTTAAATGTATCTGTCTCAGCCCACACGGTGCCAGCTGGACTCTTTCCCTCACTCTGTGCCATAACACATTGGTTTCTCCTCTTCACAGTGAACATCTTTTCCAACAGCTGTGTGCCACACACTGGCTTTTGGAAGCTTTGACTCTCAAATCCAACAGTTTGGTGCATTCCAAAATAACCCATTGGAATCCAAGGTGAAGGAATGAGGAGTTGGGGGTTTCTTATCCTTTGGATGTTGTTACTTCTCTTCTTTCAAGCAATAACTCTTTCAGTGAAATGTTATTAATTCTGTGCCATGCAACATAGACAAATTCTGGATTTTCTTTGTCCCCACGCAGTCAGCAGGGAGTTGTACAGTCAAATCAGCAGCACAGCATCATCCTCTGTTACTGCAGGTTGCAGAACTAGGAGAAAATACTGAGCTATCCCAGCCAAATTTAATCGTGTTTTCTTTCCTTTTTCTCTTTTTGTTGATAATTCTATAGTAATAGATACATGCATATTCCTACAGCCTTCCCTTGGAGGGTTATCCCAGTGAACTCAACAGGAATCCCATATATATTATCATTACAGAACAAAGCCAGCTATTAAGTGATATTTAGTAGCTGATTGTATTCTATCAATTATGTATGACAGTGATGGGTATTTGTAAAACAATGTGTTGCTTCTGAACCTTTATACTGTTAAAAGTAAATAGTAATTTAAGTTTCCAACATTTTTTGGTGGATATAATCATGTTGGCATAACATGGATTTAAATTATTCATGAGTTTTGTTTGGTAAAGCAGTTGAACAGTTCACGCTCTGATTTGCAGGGCAAAGCTCTTCCAAGCTCTTCTGTTTTCCTCTGGATTCTCAGTCAAGGCAAACTGTGTCTGTGTCTAACAGAGGTGGCAGAATAGCAATATATAGAATTAGTCTGATAAATTGGAGTAGAGAACTAGTACATGTGGTGAGTGGCTTTTTCATCCCTTTACATACATACAAGGACCAACCAATAGAGAGTTGGTCAGCCAGTCTCTCAGACACAGGCTGGCAGCAGAGTGTAACTGTTTAGCTTAGGGGGTTCTGTTTAACTTACTCTGTGTTCCTCCTACTCATCCCTCAGTGATTACCTGCACTTAATAGAGCTGACAGAGTAATTTATCTGTTGGATCTCCAATGTGGTTCAGTACAAAGCTGGGTAATCTTCAGTCTTTTTACTTCCTTCAAAGTAAAACTGGACCAGAAAAGCACGTTAGCATTTAGTACTGCTAATGACCTTTTAATTGACATTTGTATTATCATTATTAGGCTGATATCATGCTTGGCTACACTCTAAATTCCCACTTAAGAAGGAGCTCTTGGAATCATTTGGGAGAGTTTTGTGAATGTTTAGTAGCTATCAAAAAGGCAAGAAAAATCCTAAGAATGACGTGGAAGCCAGAGCAGAAATCATGTTATGCAAAAATACAAATATTTTGTAAGTGCCTCTTGAGTTTCTGTCCTTCCTATTCAGCCAGGCTGATGCCACAAGTGATAAAGTTTGACTGAACAAAAGTGCTGAGGGATGGTAGAGATATGGAATGGCTTCCACAGGAGAACAATTAAATAGACTGGGGCTCTTCAGGACAGGAAAGAAATGTCTGGAGACAAGGTTATGACAGATCTCTGTAACATCATGAAGTGCATGGAAAAAAGGTGATTAGAGAGTGGTTATTCACAGGTTCCCTTGACACCAGATTTATGGCACACCAAATTAAATTATCTGGCAGAAAATTTAAAGCAATGAGAAGTGTTTTCAAGCAATGCATAATTAAACTTAAGAATTTATTGCTATGATATATTGCTGGAAGTATATTCAAGTGCAAAAGCAATTTAAGAGAATAGAAGAAAAAACAATTAACTGCTCCTAAATGTAAAGGAAAGGACACATTCTCTGTGTCTGAAGGACCTTTAGGTTCAGACTGCCAGAGGCTGAGGGGGTATATGGGGAAGCTTGAGATAATATCATATACTACCTACACAGCTGCTGCTGAGCACTGATGAATGGGAGCAGTGGAGGATTCAAAGCTATAATTTCAAGCAATTTGTTTACAGATGTAGGTGAACAATTGGTTTGTGTGTGAGATGAGATTTGAAAAACAATCTTGAGAGCTGTGACAGCTGGGAGCCTCCATTCACTGCCAGAAAATAAAGAGATATCTTGTGTAATATATGGGAAGGGTGTTCAGTGCACCCTTTAGAACATCTATCACATGACTGCTGTGATTTCAGGGGACTGACCTGAGTTACAAGTCTGGACTTCTCAAGGGTTATGCTCCTAGCTCTGAAAAATATGGGGAGTTACTTTCTGCAGGGCAGCTCTGTAGCAAAGGTTGGATTCTGTAATGAATTCTGAAGCTGCTCAAATCCTGTTTAATCCAGGACTCTGATCACAGGATGCTTCACAGACAAATCAGAAATGGATTACCAGTACAGCTGCCTTGTAGCCCTGTACCCTAAATTCACAAAGCTTCATGTAACTCATACAGACATAATTTTGAAAGCACACACAACCCTAACCCACAGGTACCCATATTTGTATTTCAAAAGTGGGGAAGGGATTCTGTAGAGGCAGCTGATCAGTAGACACAACTGAGTGTGGCTCTTACAGAAACATTTCTTTTAAGAAAAGAATTCATGACTCAATATAAAGCCTTTTGTCCAATGGCAGTTTTGCTGTAGAATGTTTGCTTATACAGATTAGAACTTTCAGTGCTGTTGGCTGAGTGAGGACCTGTATTAGTGCAAAGGTTCAAATGTTTCATCATGTTGACAAAGGCAAATGTTGAAGCTGCAGCTGTGGTGTAACACCAGGTCACTGCTGAGGTAGTCTCATTTATCATTTGGCCCCCACCTAATCAGTCAAAGGTTTCACAAAGCAGATTAGAGTACAAAATGTAAGCCTAATTTTTCATGGTTACTGTGTAATGAATAATGTGTGCATGTAGATCAGCTCAGATGACATACATTTTCTTCACAATGAGAAGGAGACTTCCTGAATGAGAGATTAAAAAGTAACTGGATTTTAGCCCCAAAGCTTTCCAGCCAGCAGTTTAGCTCTCACTTCGCAGTCA